ACCTAGACTCCATCTGCAGAAAGTGATGCTTTGCATTTGGTGGGACATCAAAGGATTAATTCATTTCGAACTCCTCAATCCACAGTGAACTGTCAATGCAGAGATCTATAGTCAGCAACTGGAATGCTTAATTCAAGCATTCATCAGAAACGCTCTTCAATCGTCAATCGGAAAGGTGTTCTTCTTCTTCTCCATGACAATGCACATCCACATGTGGCACGTTTGATGTAACACAAGATTATGGAGTTGGGTTGGAAGCTCTTCCCCACCCACCATATTCTCCAGATATGGCACCATCAGATTACCATCTTTTTCATTCACCATCTCAATGAGAAAACGTTTGCAAATGTGGAAGGTGTTAAAGAGGACATTGACATGTCTTTTGCTTCAAAACTAAGTGATTTTTTTAATAAGGGCATTAACAACCTGATTGTAAGATAGAAAAGTATCATTAATAAGAATGAAGACTATTTCATTTAATAAATGTTTTGTTTTGATATATAAGTTGTTTGGGTGTTTACACCTTAAAAAAAAGTGACAAATTTTTGATGACCTAATATAATTAATCTATTTCTAGCTAAACTCAAAGTTTCTTTCCATAATTTCACAAGAAGAAAAACTCACACATAATATTTAACCAAACCAATCAAAAATTATAACAAAAAGACATGTGAAATAACACATATCAGGTAAGCTTGCAATACAATAATCTAAAGCATACTTGCATTGCAAACTGAAATAATAACTTTGTGAAACTACTATGAAAAATAAATTATAAAAAATACTAACTATTGCATAACATTACTAGTAATACTATTCCATCCATGACAGCAAAAGAAGAAATATATAGCTAAATCATTATATTCTGCTGCCAGCAGACCAAATGCTGAATATTAAGATGTTTCATATATCATAAAAGCAATAAATAAAATAAAATTATTTCCAATGATATTAATATATTTTGATTTTCATACTTAATAGCCAATATCCTAATTGCTCCTTCGCAATGACAAAATGAGTAATTTAGACTTTATTGGCTATTGATAAGTTTAGACAACAATACAAAAATAAATACTAAGCCTAAGTTACCTCTCACCAATAACAGAAATGTAATCTATAGCCTTTCTAACCAGTTTGTAAATTAATTGTAATTTTGATTCCATAAGATCATATCTTGTTTAACAACTTTGATGTTCATTAAAACAGGTATTTTTCTTTGAGGTTAAAGGAGGGAGAACATTTATCCAATCATTCATTGGTTTGAGAGCATATCCTTGCCAGTCCACAGAAACACCCAATGAAAAGGACAAAAAATTCCTGGTGAAAAAATTGATTTTTATGAAATTAACAATTTGTATATGTGTTAGAAATAGATTAAAAGTGCTTCATTCTTAGTTCACTGTAAAATAAATGAGCCTCATAACTTTCAGTTCAAATGATCAAGATAGATTAAGAAAAAAACACTATACTGTAAGCCTATACACTTCTGATGATCCAAAGGCATTTTACAAAGAACTTGCTGGTCCACAGAGTATAAAAGGTTGAGAACCACTGGCATAAAGGACAGTCTTTAATGAAACTTTCTCATTTAGAATTTACTTTTTATTAAATGCAGTTTTTATTTTTTACTATCTAGCTCTAATTAAATTAGTTTTTCCTAATTTATTTCAAATCTTGATTTAAAAAACAAACTGCAACCTAATTGGCCAGTTAAAAGGGTTGTTCATTGAAGTGTCAATCATTACTATCTCAGCATTGGTAGGCTTGAATTACATGTACACTGGTAAAGTCTGTTCTTATTGTGGGTGAATAAATTAGTTCAGATAAAATTTATAATTCCACTGTACATTAACAATTTCTATATTGAAACTGTATTTCCAATAATACTTATCTCTTCTCACACTACAGCTAATACTTGCCTGCCAGAGTTTCTTCCTTTGCCAATCTAAGAATTGGTTTGATTATTTCTTGCTTACTTCAGTCTTTTATACTACATTTATTGCCCTTGGCAATATTTGTCTCATGACACTCTCCACCTATGCCAATGAGCCCTCTATCCTGGTACTGTATATAAGCACCTCATTCAGATAATGTTATCACTTTCTCGATACTGACTCAATCCCAGTCTCTAACGCCAGCTCTAAGTGGGGAGAGTGTGAGAAGCAGTGTTATTGGAAATACATTTTCAATTTAGCAAAATGTTAAATGCCAAAACATACTTACCTCCACTCCCACTTATAGCTAGAATCCCACAAGAAAGCGTTTGCATAGATCATGGGTGTGTGTCAACAGAAGATTGGCACCCTAGTGGGAAACTGCACTACATCCAGAACAGGTATGCTCTTCACCCAGAACTTAGTTCATGTACTGTGGGTGAAATTTTACATGATTTATCATCACTACTGGCCAGGCCCCAACCAGATAGCTGAGGTTCCACTGCTCGGGGTTGGAATTATAGGAACATGGTCCCTATATCCCACCTTGGTTGCTAATGCAATTGGACTGCAAACTATATATATATATATATCCTTATGAGTGGATCCCAACCTGTAGCCAGAGAGTGAAGCATTCCAAGCCACTAGAATCATGATAAGAAAGTAAGTAACACTGAAGTGGACAAATCTTCTCCTCAACCTGAAGAAGTCCGAAAGGCAACACCCCAGGCTCAGAACGACAGAATAATGTATGCCTTACTCGACCAAAGGAAACGGAACTCATCCAGTCTGGAATTATGAACACTCATCCTCACTCTCCAACCATGTGAGCAAGGTGCATCACTTGCACCTGGAATTATTGGGAGGATGTGGAAAAACTGCTCAACTACAGACCCAGGATGGGACTACTCCAGATTTGGAATTACAAGGAGACAGTGGACCCTCTTCAATGAACAATGTACCAAACCAACATTGATCAAAAAGAAGGGACATACACACCTCAACTGGATAGCCGAGCGTCAAATCTGAACTGGTATTACGAGTAGTTTCCCACATAGGCTGGTGCCACTCCTACCGACATCTGGGAAAAAACGTCCAGGGACCAAGGAAGGAGCACCCCCCAACTTCACTCTCTTCTCCAAGAGTGAAGGAATTCA